GCGGCCCGTGGCCGCGTGCGGGTGTTCGAGACCCCGAGCGAGCCGCGAAGGGCGACTGAGCCAAAGGCCTCGCAGCGCACGCGTGAGCTCGCGGGGCGTTTTCCGCAGCCGCTGTGTCTCGGGAACTTTTCCTTTGGCCGCTGAAAGCTGGCCTTAAGGGCTTTGGGGCAACCCGGCACTCTGGGAGGCTGGGGCTGGAGGATTGCTGGAGACCGGCCGGGGCAGCAGAGCCAGGCTTGGAAAACGGGCCGAAAGATTAGCCGGGAGTGGCGGCAGGTGCCCGTAGCCCCAGGGGCTCGGGAGGCCGAGGGCCAGGCTGCGGCGAGCCGACGGGCCTCTGTGCTGGGCCTGGGAGACGGCGAGAGCCCGACCGAGAGCCCCAGCACTTTGGGGAACACCCCTCACCCCCTCTGGAATGCGGTGGAAAGGCCGAAAGTGTTTGGTGGTCGTCGCAGCCCTGGGGGGTAGAGTTGGTTTTGAAGTTGCGCGGCCTGTGGGGACCGAGGAGGGCTGGGCCCGTCCCTCGCCAGCGAGGTTTTCGGTGCTGGCTTCCCCCCGGGCTGACTGCGAGGTTTTCGGTGCTGGCTTCCCCTCCGGGCTGACTGCCTTTGCTCCCTGGTTTCCCCTCCTCAGAACCAGTCACCCGGAATCCATACCCCGCCGGGGCGTGGCACAGTGAGCCTGAGTTTTGTCCCTCTTAGCTTCGGCAGTCAACGTGCTGAACCGGCCCCTGGTCTTCGTTGATTTGAAACGGGGGAAGGTGGGAGGGGGATGGGGGAGAAGTGGAAAGGGATCCACTCACGGGAGGCAAGATACCGTGATGGGACTTCACAAGGAATTGCCACAGCACGTCTGAAACAATAAAAGGCAGGCTTTTTCATGCCAAAGAACTAAGTTTTTTGGCGGGAGGAAGGGGAGCACAGTGGGAAAGTTGCCCCCTGCCAGGTGTTAGTTCCAAGCCTGCAAACCTCTGTCGTCCTCACTCTTTTGGTCACTTCCAGGGATTATCTTGAACACATTACGTCCATTGGCCCCAGGACTACAGGAAGTCCAGAAAATGAAATTCTGACGGTGCGCTACCTTTTGGAACAGATTAAACTGATTGAAGCGCAACGCAACAGCCTTCATCAGATTTCAGTGGATGTTCAACGGCCCACAGGTTCTTTTAGCATTGACTTCTTGGGAGGCTTTACAAGCTACTATGATAACATCACCAACGTTGTGGTAAAGCTGGAACCCAGGGATGGAGCCCAGCATGCTGTCCTGGCCAACTGCCATTTTGACTCAGTGGCAAACTCACCAGGTATGTGCCTGTTCTTCCGTCTTTTTGAAGTTGTCACAGCCCAGCAAGTGTGCTAACCTTACCCCAACCTGCCTCGGCAACTCTGTAGACCATTTTCTTGGGCAAACCTTTGATGTGATGGAAGGCAGGATAATTAGCGTGGTAGCACTTAGCCTAGGCTCCAACCTTTCATTATTCTCTTGGGTCCTTTATTATTAGTACCTTTAATGCCAGCAGCTCAGTGCGGGGCTTGGATTGTTTCTGGTAGAATAAAGCAGCCTTATCAGCGTCACCAGACGGTGCATGTCCCTGTGTCCTGGAGTTGGGCGCTGCCACTTAAAGGGCTTGTTCAACTGGGTGTCCTACTAGGCTTTGGGGATATCCGATAAAGGACAGCCCCTGCCTTCAAGGGATGCGTAGCATGGAGGATGTCTCTTCCAGCGGTTTCTGTTGACCTGTAAAGTGAGAGTTTTGGTCTGCTGAGGGACCAGATTGTTAGAGTACCTCATTGATTTGTAGAGCTTGCTCTGAAAACACTTTGGCAAAATGGAACACTTGATGTTTATGACAGTGCCTGACATCACAGGTGTCCAGTGAATGAGAATCCCCTACATTGAACTCCATTTATTAAAATACCATTCCTCAGAAAAATGTTTTCAATAGTTAAAAAAAGATTGTAATAAGGGAAGAATGGAAAACCGCATTCTACAATGGTAGCATCGCATTCCGTCGGAAATAAGTAAGGCCTGAGACGGCACCAGACTCAGCTCCCTCATTGACACTGGAATGCATTTAGCTAATCACCACTGGTGTGATGCTGGCACGCCCAGTCAGGCTGTCCTTTGAAAGGAAGGAGAGTATTAGAGTGCAGTTAACACCCACATTGGCAAATTGCTTAATCTTTCATCAGTGAAATGGAGAAAATCACAGTACTTTCCCAATAGTGCGCTTGAGGAGTAAATATAAGTTAAACACTAGAACAGCACCTGGGATGGAAAAATCTTTTTTAAAAAGTTTATGTTACATGTTACTTGATGTTAATACTTGTGCATTGCTTGAGCTTATAGCAGGCCTGTTGTGAACATCTAGGGGTGTACAAAATAGAAAGTAAAATTTGTTTGATAAGATGATTCATAGCAGAATATTTTAAATTAGAAAGCGTTAGAATATAACTTGCTTTTTCAGAAACCAGTATGCACACATCTTCTCTCGAGAGGCAGAAGCACCTTTGTGTGTGCTGGGGAAACGAATGGTCTGTTGTGTCCATTTCAAAGCAGTAATAGAATAAGTCACTCTGCCCACTATTAGGATGCGTACATTCTGGCAGGGGCAAAGTAAGAACCATGGTTCCTTAAGAGCATGTAAGAAACCTGTATGTCCAAGAATCAAAACAAATGTGGAGGATGAAAAATAGTTTTCCTTCTACCCATCACAGTTCTTGGCTGGGATGGGCCCCCACGTGACAAAGATAGGCTAACTGGAGAAAACCAAACAGAAGTTTATTGACATGTTTATCTCCTGTGCACACCAGAGATACCCAGGGAAGATGAGTACATCTCAAAGAGGTGACATAGAAATTGGACTTATGCAGCATCTTCAACAAAGGACAGGACATTTTTGGCAAAGTGACAAAACCAAGAAAAGAACCTTGAGTCTGTAGGGCTGGCCAGTCGTAGGAAGGCAGATAAAGTGTAGCTAGTAAAGTTTGTTATGTAGATTCCTCGGGTGCTATCTCCAAGGTGATAAGAGTTTAAAGTTGTCTTTGATAATCAACCTTTGTACTTCCTGGTAGAGAGGGGAGATGGGACACCTTTGTAAATTTATGGCCTGCTTTTGGGCTAAAAGGGGAAGGGCAGAGAGCTTGTTTTGTGTCGTCTCTACTTCTCAGTTGCCTTCTGCTCACAGTCACCCGAATGCCAAAGTGGCATCTTTTGTGGTGGCAGATTCTGCTACTGTTCACAAACACAGTGTCAGACGTTACAAATCACATGTGTGGAGTCCAATAATTAAGGGATGGCATTTTTGTGAGCTATTAGAACTCATTTTTAACTAGAATTTTATAAGAATACCCATAGCAACAATCACAAGAAAATTTCTGTCAGTAATAAATGGTTAAAAAGCAACAGAGTGAGACTGCAACTCAAAAAAAAAAAAAATGGTGTTTCACACATTCGTCAAATAGGCTATCACCTAAATCCTTTTAGTGGGTGGACTAATGGAGCATGGATGGGTGTTTTTTTAAAAGTTCTTAGTGGCGTATCTGGGACTCAGGAATTGACACCGATTAGGAGTAATGCTAGCCACGGAAAACCCTTAATTATCTTTGTGGGCCTGCCGTGTGGTTCCAGGTCACTGGTCGAAGAGACATTGAGTTATTTTAGGGGTGGCTACAATTTCAAGGTTAATTCTAAATGGAAAGAGATGTGGTTAACCACCTAGCCCTTGTAGATACTGTCCTCTTACTTTTCTTCACTTTCTTAAAGATATTTGACCCTCTTCTACTTCTCTTCTAACACACCAGAACCACTAAAATAAATGAGGATAAATGGACAGGTTACATTTTAATCAACTCCATGCAGATACATGCCTTTCAGTTTCTCTTTCTCTTTTATGAATAAAGAAAAATTTTGCTTTTCATTTTAAAGTAAGTCATAGTCTCAAAGTAAAATATTTAATTCATTTGGTTTGGGTAAGGTGGCATTTTTTACTGATCGCAACATATACTTTCTATTTGATAGTGATTAGATAATTATTGCTTTGTTTCACTTTGATTAAAATAAAATCCAGTAGTTTCTTCTCGAATGCGGGCTGGTATTTAACAGAGCTCAAGCAAGCATTTTAGCTGGCTACAAATGCTTGAGTTTGCAAAGAGAAGGAAAAACTAATATTGAATGCCTGCCAGGTGCTAGGCAGTGTGCATTATCCTGTGTGATCCTTGCAACAAACCTGTGAGGTAGATATGATTAGCCTGCTTTCTAGACCAGGAAATAGTAGGGTAAATGACAGAGCTCGGTTTTATTTCTAAGTCTTCCTTGCTCTAAAATCCACTCTAAACTTTTAGCAGCCTGCCTCCCAGTGTGTAAACTCAGAACTGTTATTGTCTGGGTCACAATAGTGTTTATCTTTAAGGTTTTTATTATGGAAAATTTCAAATGTAAATACAAACACTTTTTTTTTTTTTTTTTTTTGAGTTGGAGTCTCACTCTGTCACCCAGACTACAGTGCAGTGACCGCTTCCGGCCACCTCAGCCTTGACCTGCTGGGCTCTGGCTGTCCTTCTGCCTTAGCCTTCCAAGTAGCTGGAACTACAGGCATGCGCTACCACGCCTGGCTAATTTTTGATTTATTGTAGAGATGAAGTCTTGCCAAGTTGCCCAGGCGGGTCTTGAACCCACGGGCTCAGGCAATCCACTCACCTCAGCCTCCCAAAGCGCGGGATTACAGGCTGAGCCACCGAGCCCGGCTAAAATTTTAATTTTTTTTTAATTGAAGTCTCACTTTGTCCCCGAGGCTGGAGTGCAGTGGTACGCTCATGGCCACTGCAGCCGTGACCTGCTGGGTTCAGGCGATCCTTCTGCTGGTCTCGAACCCATGAGCTCAGGCAGTCCTCTTGCTGCCCAAAGTGCTGGGATGACAGGTGTGAGCCACCATGCCTGGCTAAAAACAGAAATTTTTAATTAAACCCAATGTACCCACCACTCAGCTTGAACAGTCCAATCTTTTTTCTTCCTCTACCTCCTTCCTCCTTGATTATTTTGAAGCAGATCTTAGCTGCAGTGGGTCCTCTGCAAGTATTTCCGTCTGTCTAGCTGTAAGACAAGGGTCGTTTTTGATATGCTTACAGTAAATACCATGAATTGCCTCACCTAAAAAAAAAAAACCTCACAGTAATTCTTTGGTATCATCAAATATTCAGTCAGTTCCTTTAACTTTAAGAAAGCAAGGCACTCAAGTCATCTTTATAGTTACTTTTCATTAACACATAAAGTTTCTGAATTAATCAAGAAGCAGTCAAGAGATTTGACTAGTCAGTTCTGTGACTAGGTATGCTGCTTGGTTGTTCGTCTCCCTTCCTGTGTCTTACTGGCTTTGGTGTCTTCCTGTGCTTTTCCTTCACTTGATCCCCAGGGAGAAGCTGCAAAAAAAAAAGAGTCACCATCTGACCCCTCTGTAGATGTGGATTGTTCTGCAGCTTTAATGATTTTGGCAGGAAAGCAAGCAAGGACTGGGTGGCAGTGGGAGATGGCACAGGAAGCTGTGAGCACCAGAAGTGAGAGTATTACAGAGGATGTGGAATTCAGAGTAGGTACAGAACATGTTTCCTTGGGCTGCTGAAAATGCCAGTTTTCAGTATGACTTTGGGTCTCAACTGGTTGACTTAGGCAGCAGGTATTATAAGCGAGGCCAGGCATGGTTCTAGGCATTAAGAGTGAGTCAGGGAGTATAGCACAGATCCCCGCCCCTGTGGAGCTTACTGCTGGGGAGAGCAATTGTCATTTGATGATGATGGAGCTGTGCTTCTGGTCATTGCGTCATTGCGATACTTCTCTGAGGAGAAAACTCCGTTCTTATTCATCGTGGTATATACTATTGAAGTTTTAAAACCTGAGAAGCAAATCTGTTTTTTGATTTGAAGGTGCCAGTGATGATGCAGTTAGCTGCTCAGTGATGCTTGAAGTCCTTCGCGTCTTGTCCACGTCTTCAGAAGCCTTACATCATGCTGTCATATTTCTCTTTAATGGTGCTGAGGAAAATGTATTGCAAGTGAGACTCTCCTGTTTTAATTACTAGGTTTGAATAATGATGAAAATAATAACTAACAACGTGCATTTTTATTATTCATGTGAGTAGTTTGTGAAGCGATATGCAAATGAAACGTTGTACCTTGCAGTACTTTAGGCAGTTGCCAGCCACTTAAAACTCAGATAACACTCAGGTTATCTTGGTGGTGTTGGATTCATAAACAGGCTCGTTGATGGCTAATTACCTTCCTGAGGTTTGCCGTGACACTGAAGCTTCAGGGTGTCTTGAGGCAGTCGCCCAACACAGCATGAATGCCCAGCCACACAGGCCGTCTCTTCTCTTAGGTCCGCTTTGCCCTCTCCTTTGCGCAGCCTTGTGCTCATCCCGGGTGGTAGTTGGCACCCCTGTGGTGATCAGGCTGCCTTCTGTCATGGGCGACTTGCCACACCCATGAGGCACACAGCCGTCATGCGAAGAAAGAGAAGCTGAAGATGCTTCCGGGTTCTGCCTTTGAAGAGTGGTCATTTTGTTCTTATATTCTTTACCTCATCAAGATAGCCTTTCTTGACACTTCGCGTAAGCAAAGTAAGTTTAAATTTGATAATTTAAGACTATTTAACCAGTGTTTGTTTTCTTTCCTTCTCTTTAAGGCCAGTCATGGTTTCATTACTCAGCACCCTTGGGCCGGCTTGATTCGTGCATTTATTAACCTGGAAGCAGCAGGTGTGGGAGGGAAAGAACTAGTATTCCAAACAGGTATGTGAGCCTGTCGTCGTGCGTTTTAATACAGTTCTGGTTTTCATAAGAGTGGAAAGTTTTTTCATGTTGGTAGTCTCTTTAATGAGCACATCCTTTTGAAAGCATGAGATGGTGTTAGCCTGTCTTTGTTAAAATTTAACCAAATGATAGCATTTGACAATTGTATATGCCAAGTGTCGTTCAAAACATTTTAAATAATGTCATTAATCCTCAACAGAACATGAAGGGCAATTGCTTGTTATTACTTCCATTTTACAGATGAAACTGAGGCAAGAGAGACTGTAACTTACTAAAGGGTTCACAGTTGGTTAGTGGCAGAGGGATTTGAATCTAGGCAGTCCAGGTCCTGAGACTTCGTTCTTAACCACTAAGCATATTGTCACATAGGTGGTGTACTTAATTTTTTCCATTATGGGTGATTATGATATAAATAATTTTATATGTCAATCATTTTATGAGTTAAAATGAGAAGATTTACTTGTAGTTTAAAAGGTTTACATTTATTGGTGAATTAATGTCAAAAAATTCAGTAATATGTAATCAGCTAGAGATATTTTTAATTTTATGATTATGAACTTTTCTAAAGATAGCAAGATAAAGTTGATAAGTATTGATTTACTTGTCTTTATTAGCAGTTCACAGCTCATAGATTTGTTCAGTCGGGTGTACTAAAATCTGACATTGGGAGTTCCATGCCATTTCTTTGCCCTGTTAGAGATTTGGGTAATGCATTTAGTCTGGAGATGCAGCGCGGCTAGATGCTTAAGTATTCTGCAGCCTCTTGCAGCGTCAGATGGACTAGGGGGAGCGAGCTGACGTGGGACCTCGTTTTGCAGCACCCTCTCACGACCTGGTTCTGGTTAAGCTGCGCAGCTGTGCTAAGCACTTTTCCCCATAACCTACATGATTCCCTGTTTTAATACTCTCCATCAAACTTGCTTTGAGCTTTGACCCTTCAAGATGAAAACACCTTTGACCTTAGCCAGACCTTTGAGAGTCTCAAGGTCAGAGCAGCGAGGCTCCGCCTTCAACCCCCAACCTTCCTGCTTTGCCCTTCATCTACCACGTGAGAAGAGGCTCGGAGCTGATGTCTGTAGGAGTAGGTCATGGCCTTGCTGGCTTTTTCCATTTCCCTTTATTTCTCGGGTGCCCCTCGAGACGGGAGGAACCCATGGAGCAACCGCTAGGTGAAAAAGCAGCAAGAGAAATTCTGTAGCCAAGGACACTCAGTCTTGCTTTCCCTTACGGAACCCTCAGGGCTCTGCGTCAGCAGGGGCGTGCTTTGTATGTTTCCCCTGTTGAAGGTACGCAATGTGTGAAATGTCTTTGTGTCCACGCTTTTCATGTTTTATCACAGCACCTTGGCCCTGTGCGCCTCCTTGCCCAGAGAAGATCCAGTCTTGTGGCTCAGTCTGTACCTTCCCGGATTTTTCTATGCCTGTATATATTAATGCATACGTAGTTTGTGCACGTGTGAAAATGTTTTACATATGTATAGTCAGAGAGGTTAAAACACGTTTACTTAGGGCTAGTCAGGTCCGGGCCCAGGGCGGTTCTTTTACTTATTTACATTTATTAAGTGCTCACTGTTTCTCGGTCTTGTACTAAATGTATAGTTTTAGGTAAAAATCTGCAGCTGCATACATTTTAGAAATAGTTGCAATATTTGGAAGGACATACACAGTTAATAATGGTCACAGCTAGTTGGTGGTTATTTGTTGGTAGAACTGGATGGGTATGAGTGGAGTGGGGGAGGAGCTAAGTGTAAAAAAAATAACCACAACAGTCTGAACTTTGCATTGTGTTCTGAATTTAAGACCAGACTTGATTGTTATTACTGCATTCCTTATGCTCTTTATAATTTTCTGTATTGCTTAAGCCTTTACAGTGTATGTGGTCACTTTAATAATAAAGCAAAAAAAAAAAGCTAGCTTATTCTTGTGGCTAAAGTGTATATACTTGAAAGTTCTCTCTGGTGCTTTCTGACATTCCAGTATCTTTCCTAATAGTTCTCTCACTTCTGATACCACTGCCTGCAAAAGACTGGCTTTCTTGTGGGCATGGCTTTCAAGAAACTAGTTAGTGTCATGTCCACGTTTGGCTAGGGTTGTTCTTCCGAGCGTATGCCAGTACGGAGTACACGGTCCTCAGCTTTTTTCTGTGCAGCAACACTTGGCCTGTCCTGCAGACTTCTCGGTTAAGACAGTCTGTACTTTCGAGAGCCGCGTTGTCGCTTCAGAGAGAGATGCTCGTTGTGGAGTTTTTGGCGATGAGGGCAGCCATTCCTACCTACTCTTTAAAGAGGGCTGGAAGGAGTGACTTCGTTTTCATCAGACTGGTGACCTCATTCCATGAGTCAGAGAGGCAGGGTTTAGTAAGTTTGAAGGCGTTATACAACCCATCCTTTTAAAATACAGAGAAATCAAACCAGCAATATGTGTCCTTGTTAAAAAGTTCAGGTCCTGCCTACCTTGAGTGCAAGAAGGGCCATAAGCAAAAAGGTCACAGAGTCTTTTTTTCTCTTGTGACGATTTCCATGCCTTGGTAATCCTATCATGCGCAGCAAACCAGTGCATGGTGTGGGCTATAGTCTCCTGGAAGTTTTTTCTAAGCGTGTACATGAATATATGTGAATATATGTGGGTTTCTGCAAAAATGGGATCATATTCTACTACTTTATCACCTCTAGAGTGAATTCTTGTGTTTTAATTATAGCTCTACTGACATATAATTCACATACCCTACAATTCCCCAATTTAAAGTGTAAAATTTAGTGGTTTTTAGATATATTTATAGAGCTGCGCAGTCACCATCATAATCAGTTTTAGAACACTTTGTCAAAAGGAAACCTTGTGCTTGTTAGCAGTCAGTCCTATTTCCGCCCACACCTAGGTGACCACTTGTCCACTTTCTGCCTCTGGAGATTTGTCTGTTCTAGACATTGCACATAAATGCAGTCATGCAAGATGTGGCCTTTTGCATCTGGCTTCTTTCACATAGTGTGCTGTATTTGAGATGGTCAACCTAAATAGCAAATGGGGGATACGCTCTGGAAGAAATGATATTTATTTGGGAGTGGACATTGCGATGGGAACACATGTGCCATGGGAAACTACGTGTGCATGCAGGGTGGTAAAGAAAGAAGGGCTTAAAGGGAGACTGAGGAGCATTCCGTAACGGTTTTGAGGTAATTGTCCTTGGCCACAAGGATCAGCAACAAGGGCAGCACAACAGGCAGTTGCTGGGCTGGTGTCCTTGCAGAAGTATTTTTTTTTAAATAGGAGGTTTCAGTGACCTTTGTGCAAGGTTGTGGTTTTTGCCGTCTTTGGTGATAATTCTTGTTTTCAGGCGTTTGTGCACGAGAACCCTTCCTTTATCGCCTTCCCTGGTTCTGTTTGTCAGGGTTTTTTCCTTTTTTTAAAAAACACAGGTGACTCTATTTTGATTCTTGCAGCTTACAATGTTATTGTGTGTATCAGATTTTGATTCTGTCAGCTTTACAAGGTTTATCTATGTATGGATAGACCACATTTTGCTTATCCCTTCATCAACCGATGGACATATGGATTGTTTTTCCTTTTAGGCTTTTATAGATAATGCTGCTCTGAGCATTCATATATGAGACTTTTTTTTTTCTTTTTTTTTGAGTCGGAGTCTCACTCTGTCGCCCAGACTGGAGTGCGGTGGCCACTCCCGGCCACCGCAGCCTCCACCTGCCAGGCTCCGGCGGTCCTTCCGCCTCAGCCTTCCGAGGAGCCGGAACTACAGGCGCGCGCTACCACGCCCGGCTGATTTTTTGATTTATTGTAGAGAGGAGGTCTCGCTGCCCAGGCGGGTCTCGAACCCGCGGGCTCAGGCCATCCACTCACCGCAGCCTCCCAAAGGCGCGGGATGACAGGCTGAGCCACCGAGCCCGGCCATATATGAGTCTTTTTGTGCACACATATTTTTGGAGGGTTGGATAGACAACTAGGAGTGGAATTCCTGGCACATAATAACTTTCTAAGAAACTGAAAAACTAAGCAATTAAGTTTTTTTAAGAAAAAAAGCAAACTCATATATTATTTGATTGGCAAAAAGTATGTAAAATGATAGTGCCTGATGCTGATGAGTATAAAGAAACAGGCATTTTATGCACTTTTGGTGGAAACGTAGATGGATACATTTTGGCAGTTTATGCCGGGAGCAGTGGCTCACGCCTGTAATCCCAACACTTTGGGAGACAGAGGCAAGAGGATTGCCTGAACCCCAGGGCTGGAGACCAGCCTGGGCAACCTGGCGAAACCTCGTCTCCACAGTAAAGCAAAAAATTAGCCAGGCATGGTGGTGTGCACCTGTGGTTCCAGCTATTTGAAAGACTGAGGGAGAAAGATCACCTGAGCCCAGAAGGTCAAGACTGCGGTGGCTGTGAGCATGGCACTGCACTCCAGCTTGGGCAACAGAGTGAGACTCTGACTCCAAAAAAATGGGGGGCGGGGCAGGCATTTCAGTCTAGCAGGTCTACTTCTGGAAATTTATCCTGGAGAAGTAGTGGACACAGATGTGTGCTATACGTGCTGCATAGTCATTTTGTCTTTTTTATAAGAGTAAAAAATTGAAAATACCTTCAAAATCCTTGAGTGGGAGACTGGTTATATAAATGGTGACTGAAATTTTAAAGAATCTCTTCCATCGTGTATTTCTTTCTTCTCTGAGGGATCATTTCCCTGTCACCACACAAACAAACCTTTTTTCTCATCTTGAACACCACTTTTACTCCCATCCCCAACTATGCATTTCTCTGACCCTCTGCTCCAAATTCCTCAAAAGAGTGTAGTTAGTCGCCATTGCGAGTGCTTTTGCTTCTGTTCTTAAGCCTATTCTAGGCAGCTCTAGCTTCCTCTCTCCACCACAGCTGCTCTTAGAAAGGTTGCATTAGCTGGTTCAGTGGTCACGTTTTCCGACCCTGTCTCACTTGGCTTCTGTAACAGTAATCATCATTCTTTCTCCTTTATTAG